GCTGGGCCTGCTGCTTCTGCTCCCCATGTCATATTTGCGTTGGTTTGTTTTTGTTTGTTTGTTTGTTGAATCCTTCGATCATGGACCCCATCTCAGGATGTCTGGGTCCGCGTCCTTGTCGTCGTCCTCCTCCTCCTCCTCCTCGTGGGTCTAGGGCCCAGGTCTTTGGACGTGGCTCGCCTTTCGAGGGCCCCTTGGGGCCTCTGGAGGCTTCCGGCCTTGCTCGCCCCGCCTTTCGGGGCGGTCCGTGTTCTGCTGCCACGAGCGTTCCGATGCCCTCCTCCTCTTCCTTCTCCTCCTCCTCTTCCTCCTCCTCCTCCTTCTCCTTTTCCTCCTCCTCCTCCTCCTCCTCCTCCTCCTCCTCCTCCTCCTCCTCCTCCTCCTCCCCCCTCCCTATCTTCCTCCTGCTGTCGTCATTGGCCTCCTCGCCTTCCCAGTTCTCCTCGTTCTCCTTCAGCTCTTTCCTTCCTCCCTTCATCTTTCATTCTCTCGGTCTCCCTTCCTCCCGCTCCTCCTTCCCTCATGCTGCTGCTGCTGCCCTCCTCGAATGGGGAGGGTGGGGAGGGGGCGAGTTGGAGGCGAGGAGGAGGAGGAGAGGGCCTGGCACTCTCGCTCCTTTGTCCCTCGTCGTCGTCGTCCTCCTCCTCCTCGTATACCTCCAGCTCCTGTCGCTGATACTCCTGCTCCTGATCCTGCTGCTGCTCCTTCGAAGGTTGGGGGCGAGAAGTAGGGTGGAGGGGAGTTTTTGTGTCGCAGCATCTGGTGCCCTCCGGAGCAGACCTCCCGCTGCTCGCTTCGCTGCGCCGTGCAGCTGGGACTACGCGCGCGCCACAGCTCACGACGTCCACCGCGCGGCCGACACCCAGGCGCTCCGAGGGGCTCCGCGCGCCCCGCGCGCCCCGCCACGAGCGGCAGCGCCAAGAGGGCGCCAGGCTCGCCGTCGAGCTCGCCGCCGAGGACCGCGCGGAAGAGCACCTCGCGGGCGGCAACGCCGTTGGCGAGGCAGGATCCCCCCGCCCCTGGTCGTCGAAGGTCGAAGGTCGAATCCACCCAGCCCGTGGTCGCGGCGGTCTGCCCCGAGCTCCGTCGTGCCGTCGAAGGCCTTGCGCTCCGCGCGCAGGCTGCCCATTGTGCGGCGTGCCGCCGCCGACGCAGCCGTCCAGTGGACGCTGCCGCCTCCGCCCTGCGGGCCGCCGCCGACGCCGCCGCAGCTCCTCGCCGCCCTCGAGCCTCCGCAGCTTCTCCCTCCGCTCCGCCTGGGTGCTCTCGCCGCCCCTACGCTTAAGTCGGGCCTGTCCCTCTGCAGGAGGAGTATCCCCAAATAGTCAAGAAATAGTCTGGGGACGATTTCTAGAGTATTTTTTTGGGTGTTCTTGTTCTTGCTGTTCTTGTTGTTCTTGTTCTTGTTCTTGTTCTTGTTGCTGCTGTTGCTGTTGCTGTTGCTGTTGCTGTTGCTGTTGCTGCTGCTGCTGCTGCTGCTGCTGTTGTTGTTGTTGTTGTTGTTGTTGTGGTTGTTGTTGAATTGTCATTTCTGAAGAATAATTATTGTTGATCCCCCCCGTCCGGTGCACATTGTTTTTTTTCGATTGAAGTGCCCTTCCTGGGGCTCGCACCCGATTTATATCAGGGAAAGTCTTAAGGGTCAAATTGTACTGTTGGCCCCCGATTTACAACAACAACAACAACAACAACAACAACAACAACAACAACAACAACAACAACAACAACAACAACAACAACAACGGCTCCCGCCTGATACTTCCTCACAGTTTATTGAAGAATCGCGCTCTCGCTTGGGACTTCCTTGCAATTTACCGCCGCATCGCGGCTCCCGCTGGATACTTCCTTACAATTTACTGAAGAATCGCGCTCTCGCTGGGGACTGCCAAATTTCCACCGAATCGCGGCTCCCGCCTGATACCTCCACACAATTTATTCAGATGCTGCTCCTCGACACTCAGGAATCGCGCTCCCGCTACATATTGCCTGACGGTCCAAGCAGAATTTATGCTTCAACGACCCGCCCGCTCGACCCGCCCGTCTGGGCCTGCCCGCCCAACCAGCCCGTTAGGGACTGCAGTCGCCGCTCGCTGCCCTTCGCCCGCCTTCGATGCCCCTCGCTGCCCGTACTGGTTCCGCGGTCGCCTTCGCTCGCTGCCCTTTGTGGCCCCGTTGCTGCCCTCAGTGGCCCCGTCGCTGCCTATTGTGGCCCCGCATTATACGCCCTTCGTGGCCCCCGCTTGCAGTCGCCCGTCGTGGCCCCATACGCATGCCTTTCGTAGCCCCGGTGTCGCCCTTCGTGGCCCTCTCGCTGCCCTTCGTGGCCCCTTTGCTGCCCTCAGTGGCCCCGCTGTCGCCCTTTGTGGCCCCATATACGAATGCCCTTCGTGGCCCCCGGTCGTTCGCGCCCGTCGTGGCCCCATATGCATGCCCTTCGTGGCCCCGCTGTCGCCTTTCGTGGTCCCCTCTCTGTCCTTCGTGGCCCCGTTTCTGCCCTCAGCGGCCCCGTCGCTGCTCCCTTCGTCCTTCTCCTTCTCTTCCTCCCTCTCCTCCTTCCCTTCCTCCCTCTTTCCCTCCTTCCCTCCCTCCCTCCCTCCCTCCCTCCTCCTCCTCCTCCTTCTCCTCCTCCTCCTCCTCCTCCTCCTCCCTCCGCCTCTTCCTCCTCCTCCCTACTCTCGTTGTGGTCGTCGTCGTCGTGGTGAGCCCGCTGTCTGTCCATCTTGGGGTCGGGTTGCCGCGGGTCGGTGTGTGTATCGCCAGCGTTGCTACTGGCCAAGCCGGCGGTCCGCCGCTTGCCGGGCCCGCGTTGCTGGCCTTTGAGACGCGCGTGTTCCACTGGCCCAGGTTCTTCTGCAGGCTTCGAATGAAGGCCTCCCTCGACGAGGCCCCTGGGGCGTTCCCACAGGTTTCGGAGCCTCTGGAACTGCTCGGTGGTCATCGGGGCCATTCCGAGGCCCCCCAGAGGTCAGATGCTTTCGGGTGCCTTCCAATCCCCCCGCGCCTTGTTTCCGCACTGGTCTCCGCTCGTATGCACCTGCCCCCACTTTTCAATGTTCTTTCCCAGTTTTCTCACCTCTAACCTTTTATCTTCATTTTCATGTCGTTCGTGCTCCATTGTGCTATTCCTCAGTTCTTCGTATTCCGCCCGCTCCCCCCCTGGCCGCCCCATCCCGCCCCAACAATCTCCACCCCTTCCCGCTCGCATGCCGCATTCCCCCAATTTATTCCCGGTCCCTACTCCGGATTCCTCCGTGCGCCCCCCGCTCCTCCGCGCTCCTCCCGGTTCCTCTTCTCCATTCCTTGCCGCTCCACCTCCTGAGACCCTACTCTTGTCTACTCCGCCCCAATCCACTCCACATCCCCGCGCCCCTGTCGACGCGATTGCAGTTTTCATTGTCGTTCCGCCCCGCTCCCGACGTCCCGCTTCTTCTCAGGTTTCCGCGAAATTTGGTTCTGACGCCGGTTCGCAGCTGTGCGCCCCCCCGTGGGGGTATCCACGATGTGTTCTTTCAAGGGGGCGGTGCGTGGCGCTGTTCATCAATGCTTACCAACCAATCGGGGCCGAACCCGCCGCGCCATTGGAGGGCGTCGAGGGCCGTGGCAGAAGCGAGATGAACCAACGCATGCCAACGTGTCCGCACGCGCCGTCGATGTTTGTAGCGCGCGCGAGCTCGGCAGCTGTCACTGCTGCCGCTGCTAGCCTGGGAATTGCGTGTCCGCGCTCGCCTTCCAGAGCCGGGCGCCGTTCCGAACCAACACCGTTGTCCAGAAACAGTTAGTGCGAGGTGCCTTTGGAGGCCTCGCGATGGCTCGTCGCGGATTGGAGGCTCCTTGTAGCGAGTGGCGGTGCCAGCATCGTGCGCGCGCGCGTTGGCAGGTGATCCCGCTATCTGATTGGCGCGGTTTGTACGTTTGTGATTTTTGCTTCGTGCGTGTGCTGTGCCCGGTGCGGCACGCTGCGCCTCGCGTGCTTGGCCTGCCGCTGGTTTGCCCGGCGCGCGCGCGGCGCGCGCGCGTTGGTCGAGGGCGGCCCTCGATGTGTTTCGTTTCTGTTCCCGGCCCTCCTGCGGGTCAGGCCCTCGCTTGCGCTTTTCGCTTCATGCCTTCTGTTTGTCTCTCGTCTCCTCTTCTCCCCCTCCTCTTTCTGCTCTTTTTTCTTTCCGCTTCGTTTCCTCATCTTCCATCCCCTTTCATACTGCGTGGTATGTATTCGTTTTGTGGCCGCGCCACGGCAATTTCAGCGCGCCTTTCGCGCCGCGCGCTGTTCGTTATCCCCGAGCGATTTGTTTTTGAAAGTCCCTGTGGTGCGCACCGCGCGCCAGTGCCGCGACCAGTCTAGCGCGCCCATCGCGCGGTTCGCGGCCCCACGTGCAACCCTGCCGACGCGATGTGGTCGCGCGCCGCGTCCCCGACCATTCCTGATCAACGTTCGCAGGTTTCGTGGCCCCGCGAGGAGCTCGACCGAAATCCCGCAGAGCACAAGCCGCACGCCGCGGCCCAGATTATTTGAGGCCGCCCATCTCGCGGTTCGCGGCTCCATATTCTTGGAATTTCATCGACGACCCCCGCGGCGCAGGCCGGGCGCCGCGCCCGGGTCGCGTCGTTTCACTCGCCACGCCATTCGTGTCCCCATATGGAACACCACTTGATGCGTTGTGCCATAGGGCGCTGGCCACCGCCCAGACCATGTCAGTTCATTCAGAACACGATTCGCGCACCCCCGGGGAGGTCTACATATTTTTTCCGCACTGGACGCATGCCACCGCGCAGACCGTTGCAACAGGCCCATCGAACGGTTCGCGGCCCCATACGCAGCCCCCCAAGGGTTTTGTCGCACAGGGCGCGTGTTGCCGCCCAGACTGTTTCAGATCGCTTGTCATGTGTTTCGTGGCGCAATTAAAAGGGTTCCGCCGAAGACGCCTGCGACGCAGGCCGCGTGCCGCCGCCCAGACCATTTCAACTGTCCTCACGCGATCTGTGGCCGCATTCGGGAAACTCCA